CATCTAAAGTCTCTATAAACTCTCTCCAATCTGAAACAAACACATGTGCAGATCCAATTTTAAAAATATTAGGTAGAAAGAGTTAGAAAAAATAGCAGAGCATGTCGCAGAAACCAATTATTTTTTCCCACCTTCTCAGCTCTCACACACTGGCACTCTCCATTTGTACTCTTCCTCTACTTCAGTCCCTGAGTCTGGACTGTGAATGTAGTCAACACTAACAACCTGGAAGTAAAAAGTTATTATCTGCTCCTCAAAAAGCTCATATCTTGGTTAGTGCGATTCTGATGAACAGAGACAGAAAACGGATTTGAAAATGTACAGCTCAAAGGAAAAATAACTGGTGCAAGGGAAATGTTGGCTGACAGAGAATCAGCTGATGAGCTAATTTCGAAATTTTTATGCAACTCTTGACAGCATAAAAGTAACAGTAACTAGGGTGAGAAAGCAGTAGAGCTTTTATTAGAGCTCACATCTTCTAAACACCAGAGTATTTATCATCAAAGTAGAGTCAGGCTTACAAACTACCAGTATAACTTCATCGAGTGAAGTAAGTGCATGCTAATACTACAAGGTGAAGCATATGTAAGCACAATAGACTGCATTTATGTTTGAGACTCTTATTTTGAAATAAAAAACAAAAAAAGGAAATACACACAAAAACCTTGAGTACTGTGCCGAGAGTTGACCAAGAAAGAATTGTCATGGAGTTAGCTAACAATATTTAGTTAAAAAGAATGGGTAATACAATGGTAAAAACGGAACTCAGGTAATAACGCTAAAGGCTAACCATTAGCAACTAACAATGCGAAAGTTAACGTCTTCTTCCTTGCTTCCTATTAGTCTGAAACGACAGACAGACAGACAGACAGACAGACAGACAGACAGATAGATAGATAGATAGATAGAGAGTCAATGTGGGTAGCATCTTTAGTTTAAAAGCTAAAATGCTTTGAACAAATTTAAACCAAATGGGTTTGGACTGAACAGACCAAACATCAATTACCAATTTATTTCAATTTAGGATTTTCTGAAATCACTCTGACTAAAATGTTAGAAAGTTATGGGCGATGTCACAGTATAAATGCACCTTAATTTAATTTCATGTTTTTTTTTGTTTTGTTTTGTTTTGTTTTTTGGCTTCCTCATTCGGGAGGGACTCAGAGTAGAGCTGCTGCTCCTCCGCATCGAGAGGAGCCAGTTGAGGTGGCTCAGGCATCTGGTCAGGATATCTCCTGACCAGGTGTTTCGGATACGTCCCACGGGGGAGGAGGCCCCGGGGAAGACCCAGCACACCCTGGAGGGACTATGTATCTCGGCCGGCCTGGGAATGCCTTGGGATTCCCCAGGAGGAGCTGGAAGAAGTGGCTTGAGAGAGGGAAGTCTGGGCCTCCCTTCTTAGGCTGCCCCCGCGACCCGACCCCAGATAAGCGGAAGACAATTGATGGATCGATGTTTTTTTTTTATTTTTTTTAGAATTTTATTAATTCTTGTTACCATACAACTGGGAAAATTATAGATCTAAAAGAAAGCTTTGAACTCCCATCTCCTTGATCATAATACTGGCTAAAATTTGATCAAAACTCATCCCATGTTTGTTGTTATTTTAAGACGAGGAATTAACATGCAAGGCCTGCATCAATAAAACTGCAAATTCATGTTGATTAGGAAACTGGCAGGTCTCTCTACCAGCAGAAGACCTCCATCCTTGAACTGAACTAACATGAGGAGGCATGTAGGGGACATATCACTGCTCATCAAATATAAAACACTGGCTTTAATAATTGAAAACGACTTTCTGGTGGCAATAGCAGTCATCTTTAATGAAGATTAAAAGGAAAGAGACAGTTATGAAAAGGAAAATCTGACAAAGCTTACAGCGTGGATTTCTTCTATCATGGCAATAAGCTGCATGGCTCTGACTCAACCAGGTTTTAGATCAATTGAAAACATCTCTACAGATTAATAACATTGAATTAAAAAAAATTAAAAATTTTAGTTTCTCATAGTTTCTGTATGACTTTATTGTCAAAAACATGCTTGTCAGAATAAGATGTTCATTTACTCAGATGGATGGATAAATGCAACTTTTAGACAAATACATCAATTAAATTTTATACTTTTCCATACTGAGTGCTGAGGATGAAGCATTTCTTTCTGACTTTAATTCTTCAGATTCTTTGACTCCATGATGGTAGTTTCAGTTTTCTACATCACATCAACAGTGATGGCCTCCATTTGTATCAAATTACACCTCCACTCTGTTCTCATTGAGATACATGAAAGTCAATTAAGCCTAATCGCTGGTAAATTACAAAACAATGTCTACATACTGTGGAAGTCTCATTTAAGGTTATCACACAGAGGTCATTAAGCGTTTGGAGATAAGGGAGTCGTAGAGAAGACTCAAAGTGCTGAATACACTAGCAAACTCTCTGAAGGCATCTGAAGATAACACAGATTCCAGAGCAGCAGGATTTTAAGCATATTATCCCAATGAAGTCAGCATTGTAAATGAGAAATCCCTGAGACTAAGAAGTATTAAGTAATAGATCTAATATTTATGATAGAAAGTATTAATTATGTAAATGGACAAATCATGGCTCCAATCACAGTAGTTTTGGGTCTGGGTCAAACCTGAGTCCAGATTCAGGTCCCTTCTGAAATATGTTACAATTAAGTTACATGAAATCTGAGTAAACATGTTGGCATTAACCAAACCAGTCCACATAAAAACATTTTCAGGAGAACCAACAAGACTAAAGCTGTATCTGCTAAGTCAGGCTGATGTTTTATCTTATAGCACCTCTTTCATTTCAGTTGTGTCTTACTACTTAATGATATTGTAGCATGCACACTTTAATTGCTGGATTACCTAGACTACTCATAATCTATAAGGAACTGCTAATGAAATGTTACAATTCACACCCAATTACTTCATCTCTGCACTGATAAAGATTCTCTAACTTCAGATGCTTAAAATTGAAAACTGATGACTTGACCAACTTTATGAATAATTCAGCTAACAGTCTATATGCCCATATATATAAATTCCTACATGCAGTCTTCATCTTTTAAAGTGAGTGTGAAACATTGAAATGAGATAGACCAAATATAACATTGCAGTCCTGACACTGGAGGACATTGTGAATTAGGCACCTTTATACCAGATACAGATCAACTAGTCAAAGTAGGGACACATTTAAAGAGACAGATGTACTTCAAAAACCTGAAAAGATGGTTCACAAAATCCCCTTCACTTCCTCAAGTTTAGAGCCACACAACAGGCTTTTCAAAATACCAGAAAAATAGTGTGACAGGAGATATGAAGACACAAGAATGTCCTACAGACACTTCCTGTCAAGATAAAATATCTGGCTACTGCAGTGACTGGAATGTCACTGTAGAGACAGTTATGCTGGATACAGAAACCTGTGTAAACTTGATCAACTGTGTATTACTTACTTCAAAGCTAAAGTGATTGAAATCCCTGTAATGTAATCATATTACAAGGACTTTACTCAATCGGACTCGATCTTGGTATCAAATAGCTGCTTCTTAGCCACATCAGTTATAATAAGAATAATATTAAATAGTATTAATAATACCTGTCATATGAACCAGTTATTTCCTTGTAAGTGAAGGAATATGGAAGAATGTGTACATGTATGTTTGTCTGTAGTTGCTTTTTTGCATAGGAGTGTGGCCCTGGCTGATCCTTTTTAATAATTAGTGCGAATGTGACTTGATGCGATATGACATGACAACATGATTCATCCTGCATCCTGCAGTTATTCTGCCTTATATTCTACTTGTCTAGAACACATGTAAGTGTAGTTAGCTGTTTTAACCTCAATAACATTGAACATAGATGGTGTTGGTGCCTTTTCAGGCTGCAACACACTGAAAAGTTCCAAGTATTTTGTACTTCCTATATTTTAGCTCCTTTGAATCTTAGCAATATCTGAAAGAATTGGAATAGTAAAGGGGGATAATCAAAGTAAACTCAAATGTAACACATATTTTTACCAGAAAGCTTATCACAAAGTTGAGTTGGAAATACAGACAGATATGGAGAAAAATGAGGCCAAATGAAACAAACTACATTAATACAATAAAGTCATTTCTGAATGGAAAGGTTCTCCTTCAGAGACTTTACAAGTTCAAAGTCTTAACTTGTAAATATCTACTTGTCATGGCAACTATAAGGGGAAAATTTAAGGGTGAAAAGCTTTTTTTTAAAGTTTTTCAAGGGTAGTGAAATACATACAACACATGTAATAATGATAAATTTCAGTTACTGGTCAAAGCAGTAGTATTAATATTGGTTATTGATATCGGCCCAAATTTTCAATTCAGTTTATGTCTAAATAAAAGACTAAATAACACAAATTTACTCAATATTTTTGATAAAGCCTATGAATTTCTGCACTTGGGTTATAAGTAATTTCAACTTATAACCATTTGACATGTTAATATGTTTAAAGTTAACAAGAATAGCTACAAATGTCATCTATTATTCAAAATATTATAAGAGTAGCATGTGCCTGTGTGTTTTTCTAAGGACCCACAAGGTGCATGTGCCTCTGTATGAATGTAATTAGCTTGATTGCTCGCTTCCCAAGTGATTTTTTTTCCACCATCTTCATTTTCTCATTCTGCCTCACCTATATTCTGCTGCACATATGCAAAAGAAGTTGCATATCTTCTACTACACACTCAACATAGTAGCTATAAAAGCCTATAAAGCATCATGCCAGGGATCCTGATAAAGAGATTGTGTTTGCACCTTCATGTAAACCAGAAAGACATATGCATACACATTTGTATGGATGAGAATCTGTACCCATTCCCTGTTACTGCCACACAGATCGATGATCATTGATATTCAGTCATTATTTAGTCTGGGCTGTCATTGGCAACAATAGACTGCATAATAGACTAACATTGCTTGGCTGCACTGTAGATCATTGGAGTGCTGATCTATATGCCTCTCCTACCTGTTTATCAGTGAGAGCGTACAAAAACTGATGATCTGGACTGAAGAGCAGATCTCTCAGGATGGGGTTCCCATCGCTCACCATCACATTCTCATACAACAAGGCAGGCTGGGAAATGGCGTTCACCAGGATCTGGAAAAGAAGAGGGGAATGCAAAACAATTATGAGGCTGGAACGAGGTTTAACGACGCTTAGCTTCATTGGATTGTCTCATTGATTTACGGCAAATAAACCGCTTCCAGTTTGTCTTTTTTTTCTACGGAAATACAGATAAATGAAGGCGGTAACTTCTTGATTGTTTTTCTACTGAATAATTTCTCATTTTAACATTTTATTAACTTAATTCACAACTTTGGAGATCAAAAATATATCCATTCATCCCATACAGTCACTCCATGGTGCAAAGCAGTATTACTGCCAACTCTGCCACCCTCTAGCTGGTGATCAGACAACAAATTGTACAACATTTTTCATTCTTCTGAAGTAACTACTTTTACTTTTCAACATGTAAAAGTCACAAAAGTAACACAAAATATTTCAATGGATTTTAATGGATTACTGGATTCCAGTAATCCAGTCTTTTAGGTTGATTCACTGAGTGCAGCACTAAGAACTAAATTATGTATTTTTCGAAGATGTTTGCCAACGCTGAATCCACTGGCAACACCTCAGAGTTATGAGGGAGGGCACACTGTTCCAAAAGCAACGAGTAGATCTTCTGGTTTCCTTTGGACGTTTCTGTTTCTTATTTCTCTCCCTCCATCTGCTCATCCATCACTTGTGAGCAGCCTTCTATGTTTTTCTCTCTGTTGTGTCCCTTTATGTCAGGTTTCGGCTCTGGGTTTGGTTAACTTGAGTAAGAAACGAAAGCAGAGTTACTTTGATCTTCCTCTAAGCATGTAGTTCATTTGGCACCAGGCTTTCATTATCGTCTGGGTCTTCTTTTTTAAGAGAAGCAATTATCTAGACAGAAAGAACTTTCACAACTCTATTGCTGATATTAGGAAAATATGAGTCATATTGGTCATATTATCATATAGGATATTATTTACAACAGTACATGAATGTAAGCTTCCACAAAGCCCATATGAAGGGCAGTGAAGGTGCATCCAACGAGTGGCATTTATAGAATAAATGCAAACCAACTACAGAATCCAATACATCTTTTGTAATCTGTAATTCCAGACGTTCAGGTTTGTACGTTTCTTCCTGTCTGTGCGTGAGCCCACACGTATAAAAACTCAATGAATTGGAATTGTTACTGACCAAAGGTCATTTGTTTTAGCAGCCACCCCACCTGCCTCCATCTTGCTTCCACATAAAGACACACAAACACACTGAAAAGTTTTATTGACATAAAGTGAGTGTGACCTTTTGTGCCTTTGGTTTTTATGGCTCTGATGATTTTTCTCTCTCTCCCTCACTGTCAGGAATAACACACATATAGAGAAAGGAGACGAGAAAAAAACACACACTGTGTGGCTGTTCTCAGACTGCTACATGCCGAGGGCTGCTGTATCATTTATGATGAGTGACGGACTGTGATGGAATGAGGGAGAGAGAGGGGAAAACAGAGAGCATGCTCTGCCCCACAGCTCGGGGCAGAGGGCATTTGGAGGGGGATTCAGGTCAGCTGGCACAGAAGGGACTGTAGTACGAGGCAGGTGACTGTGAATTTTCATCTTGTCTTTTAGCCTGCAGGTTCCTGCTCTCCTTTTCCAACCTCTGCACTCTGGAAGCTTCTTATAGAGTGGGCAGCTTCACCAGAGAAAACTTCAGGAAGTCTCAGTTTTATACTTGCTCCCTTCGGACACCTGAACTGAAATATTGCAATTTGTAATCACATCATGAAGAGACTTTTGCTGCGTTGCTTTTGGGCATGTGCTGGTATGAAATTGGTATGATACGCTTGAATAAAACACCATTGTAGCACGACAGTAGAAAAGAAAAACTATTTGTCAAGCAGAAGAAAACAGAAATTTGCCTTAACTGGGCCCTACATACAGCTATAAGATATTAAAAAACAATCAAAAAATCAAAAGGGGAGTAAAACAATTATATGCCATGAAATCTGGTAATAGTGAGTAAAGGCTGTCATAGTAAGTATCCAATTGTGGTCATTCTGGGGCTTCAATCACCAACAAAATCAAAGTTCTTTTAGTTTTCATCCCAAACTGTGTTTTTCACACGTAGATCATTTTTTTGTAGAAAAGTCCTGGACCCTTTCTGTGGTTTTATGAAGGACTGAGGGAAAACTTTGGTGGTTGTGAAACTTAACCTTTTAGAACCTTGGTACACCTTTATAATCCCTATTGGTCCATGAATAATTATTATGTTGAGACTTAATTAAGTTCACTTTCACACTGCAGTATTGAAATGCCATCTGCTTAAAAAGAGCTGAAATGCCAACAGTAGAAGCTTAATGAATTCCACAAGTTCTTTGTGTGGTCTCTGCAAACTGAATTCAAGCCCATAAAGCACAAAGAGAGAATAACACTGACCCATGTGGAACTTTTTTTTTTTTTTTTAATGTAACTTTCACCTTCTGAAATGTATTAACCAGCCTGAAAGATGAAAGCAACTCTGCTATAAAAAAAAAAAAAAAAAAAAAAAAAAAAAAAAACACTGACTACCTGCTTTAAAAGTGCTTATTAAATATGCTTTTGTAACTGGTCCCATGATGATTATTAGCCCGGGAAAAAGGAAGCATAAAGCTTACAGCTTTGAAGTCACTGAAAGCTTATGAGTCATTAAAACACTGCCTTTTTACTGATTAGTTTACCTCTTTGAAGGGGGACAATCAGACGTATTTCGGTTTCGCTCAGTGGTGCTGCTCCGATGAGTGTGCTGAACATAATTGCTGCTATTTGCATTCTAATTATCCATCAATCAATTAGTTTTACAACACAAAAAAAAAATAAGAAAATGGCATTTTAAAGCAGTCAGTTCAATAGAGGATGAGGCACTGTGCAAAGACGGTGCTCTTCTGAGACAGTTTCCAAACTGTAGTATAAAGTTTGCTGAAAAATGTGTTTTTGAACATAGCCCACATCCGTTGTTCTCTAACCTTCAGATCAAGCCCGTGGCTATGCCACTGTACAAAAATTATAATCAGCACAAAAAGTTAGAGGTGACTTCTTTCCAGGTTTTGTCCCACGTTTTGTCTTTGGAGAAACATCCTGCTCTAGTTATATCGCACCTCACCTTTTGTTTGTCTCAATGCTTCAAGGTTAGGTCGCTCTCATTGAGTTAGAGACACAGGCATGACTGACAACAATCATTTCAGTGACATTTACATCAACGCAACCCAGTGTGATTCAGACATGTCGAAAGGACTTTCGATGCTGTCGTTTTTGGTCGGCTGAACACTCATTACTCTAGCGAGGCCACTCCTTATGAGCTCACTCTGCTATACAGGACAGAAGTTTCAGGAAGTGTGTCTGAAAAGCCAGTTTTTGCTGAAGTCATTTAGAACATCACTCAAGAGACATTTTGCCTAATAAATTCAACACTTTCCAACTTTTAAGACTAATATCCAGAACAGATTTAGGATTAGAGCAAGGCTGTATATTCCCAACACACTATCTAGCATTAGAATTGCAAATACTATTGGGTATTTGCTTTGCACTTCAATAATATAAGAAACAATTCTCCAGCATGTTATGAACAATGGAACTTACATTTCTGTAGCATACAGAAGTGCCACTACTACCAAATTTATGTAAATGCTACACAAATGTATCAATGATAACAGTGTTAACCATCATCATGCTACACTATGCTCAAACCAAGTCTGATGAAAACTCACTCATTTCTCCATCCTTAATGCAACACAAATCTTGAGAAAAACAACTTCTAGATTTTTCTGGGCATTTCCAAATTTAGGTTTTATTTCCATAAATTTACACCAAAGACATACAGAATACATAGACAGATAACTAAAAAGAAATGCTAAATGGCCTGGACTTATATCGTACTTTTTCTACAGGGCTGTCATGCCCTGGCAGCAATCATTGCGTCTCTGTCACAATGACAGAGACGGACAGAGCAGTAACCAAACTACCATCATCACCACCAGAGAAATATAAAAATAAACGAAAAAGGAGAGTCGTCAAATTTTAGTGGTTGTTGGATTTCTCTTCTCATTTCTACTGCTAGCACTAGACACATGGGTTTGTTCTGGTCTCTGGTCTGCTTGGTGTTAACATATGCAGTCGAACTGAACCAGAGTTAACTTCAATCATACTGTGACGCAGGTTTGTAGGTGGGGCAGAGTTTACGCCTTCCCAAACAGACCAGACTGCCTAGGCAAACACACTGGAGTTCAATTAAAGCAGTTGAATTCACCTCCACAGGAAAAATGTCCAGCTGCTGTTTGGTCAGATTTAAGAAGCAGATGAATGGGGTCATTGGAATATCACCTCCATGAGACCTTTTCCATCAGCCCAATTTATTCGACTGGCAGGTATTAATAAGCACTTGTCTCCTGACACTCCCCAATGGTGATGAAAAAAAAAAAGAACGGTTAATGTAAAGCTGGTTTATTAAAGAGCATAACATATTATGCCAACAGAAATAGAGACGCCCTGCACTGAGGGCCTATCGGACGGTTGTGGGGGCAGTAAGGAGAGGTAGATGCAGGAGGGGCATTAGAATTGTGTGTGCAGTGGAGGACAAGGCAATAAAAGGGAGCAAATTAAAAACGGTCTGGGTTCAAACACCGGTCACAATTTCAGGTCAGGTAGTCTGACAGAAAACAATCACACACCATTAATTGCACCACTTTGTCAGAACCACATAGACTTTTTTTAAACAACCAACAAGTTCCTTAATAAACCTTTCTCCTTTAATTGTTGTGTGTTTTTATGGCACAAATATGTTTTTTTTTTCAGTTTTCCTATCCAAGGTTTTATTCCAATGTTTACTAGGCCTTTTTCAAACTGTGTTCTGTCTGTCATTTTCTACAGAGAAACTTTTTAAAGATCTCCTTAATTGCTTCACTTCAAAGCTGGTCTTTCCATTCCAAGGTTTTTCTTTGCTGCCCTGACTTCTAGACCTTCCCTTACCCCCCTGCCTCCTCCAGACATCCACCTCATCCCTCTGGAGGGTGTGTGTGTGTGTGTGTGAGTGTG